CCCCCAAATCCCCTCCCAAGTCCCCCCTTACGAGGCCCAGAGCCCCGACCCCCCCATTCATGACACCCCAGCCCCCCCCCGCCCTCACTCACCCTCCTCGCCGTACTTATCGAAGATTTCCCTCTTTTTGGGGTCGCTCAGCACATCGTAGGCCTCGGCCACTTCCTTGAAGCGCTCCTCAGCTCCGGGCTCTTTGTTTTTATCGGGATGAAAACGAAGCGCTTGCCGTCGGTAAGCCCGTTTTATCTCTTCGTCAGAAGCTCCCCGGGCCAGGCCCAGCGTCCGGTAATAATCCTTCCCCATGGCGGCGGTTCGGCCGAGCTCCGCGGCTCCGCCTTTATAGGGCCGCGGCGGCGGAACCTTCCAGAGCCCGCCGCCTCCAGAACCTTCCGGGCCCTCCTGGCCGTTCCACCAATCGGCGGCCGCCGATCTTTGAGCGGCGTGAGCCGCCGGCCAATCGGAGCGCGGAAAGAGGTGACTGGCGTTCGGAGTCGGCCAATTGATGGGCGGAGGTGGGCGGGAGGGCGCAGGCGCGGTAGGGAAGGGGAATGGGGCGGGGCTAGCGTTGCCGTGGCAACTGTTGGCTAAAGGGGGGGGCGGCTGGAGGGGCGTTGTCATGGCGACCGACGGCACAACCGCAGCCTGGGCCTGTCAGCACAGCTCCTGTCAGCTGCAGCGACGGCCTGTGCCTGTCACCATGGCAGCCGTCACCCTAAGAGGCAGCCAGGCCCATCACCGTGGCAATTTCACCCATAAGAGGCTGTCGGACCTGTCACCCCGTCACCCACAATGGCAGTCTGTGCCTGTCACCATGTCAACCGTCACCCTGAGAGAGACAGCCAGGCATGCCGCCCTGGCAACTGTCACCCGCAGCAACAGCTGGGCTCTGTCACCCACAGCTTTACTGACAACCATGGCTGTTCACACTGCAGCTGTCACCATGGCAACCATCGCCCATCACATCCAGGACCTGTCACCCATAACAACAGCCTGCTGCTGTCCACCGTAACAACAGCCGGACCTGCCACCACATGGGGACAGGCAGGGCGGGGGTCAATGCCAAGGAGTGTTCCTACATTCCCGTGTCTGGCAGTGTCCCCGTGGGATCCCAATGTCCCACGCCATCCCCCTGCCCCTAACTGACCTCACACCCCATGCTGCCCCACATCCCCTGGTGTCCCCATGCCCTACAATGTCCCCAAGACCCCACAGTGTCCCCATGTCCTCTTGTTGTCTCCATGCCCTATAATGTCCCCATGTCCTTATGGTGCTCCTATGCCCTACAGCCCCCCCAAACCCCGCAGTGTCACCATACCCCACACTGATCTCATGTCCAATGGGGTCTTGGTGGTGTTCCCACGATCCCACACCCCCACCCAAGGCGGTGTCGCTCCCCCCACCCATGGGTGCTGTGCTCGCCCCTCCCCCACTGCTGACTTAGCACACCGCACCCACCTGCAATGACTCACCGACACCCACGGCGGCTGGAGGCGTGGCTTTCTCGCAAACCCCGCCGCCTCCCACTCAAGCCACGCCTACTCCACACCGCCCCCTATTTCCATAGCCCCGCCCACTCCCCCTCTCGCCCCACCCATTGATGTAGCCCCGCCCCTCGCCCAGGCCACGCCCCTTTCTTTACTCACGTCTCCTCGCTGTGCCGCCCCCGCCCGGTGACGTCACGCCTCTCCCGCCCACCCATTGGCTTTCATCCCACGCCGCGCCTTCTCATTGGTCATCGCGTTGCTACACTGGCAGGTTACCCCAGAGACGTGCGGGACACGCCCCACTAAGCTCTGATTGGCCGCGCAGCGCCACGCGAGGGGCGCTGATTGGCTGCGGGGGCGGAGGGCCCCGCCCCGAGGCGATCACGTGAGCGCGGCGGGCCGGCAGCGGCGGCGGAGCGGGCGCCATGAAGCACTACGAGGTGAGGCGGCACCGCCGGGCCCGGGCCTACACCCGGTTCTCCCCGCGCTGCCGCCCTCCGCCCCGTCCTGAGCCGCGCCGTGCCCGGGGCTGCGCCCGGGGGGGTCGGGGGGGCGCCGCGGCCGTACTGCGCATGCGTTGTCCTACCGGGGGCAGCGGCACTGCGCATGCGTGCGACCTGTGGGGGCGGGAAGAGAGTGCGCATGTGTGTTGCGCCGGGGGGGGTAACCGCGCATGCGTGTAGAGCGCGGGGCCATGAGTGCGCATGCGCATAGGGGGCTGGTGTTAGGGAGTGCGCCTGCGCACTGCACCGTTCCTTTTTTGCGTGCGACGTGCGCATGCGCGGCGGTTTCGTGCGCGTTCCTGCGCACGCCGTGCGCATGCGCAGTGCGCAGGCAGCGAGGCCTGGGCTCATGGAGTGTCCCCATGGGGTGACACAGTGCCCTGCTGTCTGTCTGTCCCACTCTGTCCCCACCGTCTCAGTGCAGGGGTGACAACCCAGCACGGGTGGCACGTCTCCTATCAGCAGGGTGACCCTCCTATGTCCCTCCCATACCCCCAGGGGGTGGCTTGGCCCCCCCCTCCCCCCCGTGCTGTGCCCCCACGCAGAGCCTCCCCATCCCCACACAGTGACGCACCCGCTGTCGCCATCACCTCATCCCACAACCTGACAACCAACCCCATGTCCCCATCCCGCGGTGACACTGTCCTCACCACTGCACCGCGTCACTGTCACCCATGGGGGTGTCAGGAGGGGTGACAGAACAGCAGCAGGGTGACAACAGAACATCCCACCCCCAGCACAGTGACACAGGCATGGCACGTCCCCTGTCCCCACCACCTTATCACACCAGAATCCCACAGAGTGTTCCCAATTGCCATAAAGGTCCCCAAGGACTGTACCCAGATGTCATGGGGGTCCCCAGGAGTGTCCCCAAATGCCACAGAGGTCCCCCAAGCCCCATAGAATGTGGTGACAACCCCACATCCCCACCAGGATGTCCTCTGTCCCCACTGGGGTGATGTGTCCCCTGTCCCCAGATGGGTGACAACGCCCGTGTCCCCAGCAGGGTGTAGAAGGGGTGACATGTCCCCACCAGGGTGACACAACACTAGTCCTCAACAGGGTGACAAAGCCCCCGTCCCCAGCATTGTGACACAACCACAGTCCCCAACAAATTGTCAGGGGGGTGACAACCCCCATGTCCCCAGCAGGGTGTCAGGAGGGGTGACATCCCCACTGGAGGGACACAATGTGACACCAGTGACACACCCCTGTCCCCAGTACCTTGTCACGGGGGTGATACATCCCCTGCCCCAATGGGGTGACAGGGACACCCAACCCCACTGGGTGATACAACCCCCCTGTCCCCACCACCATGTCCTCAAATCCCCCCGCCCCCACCCCCCTCAGGGGCTTTGTCCCCTTCTTTTCACCCCCCAAAAGCCACCTGGATGCCACCTAGATGTCACCCAGATGCCACCAACCCCCCCACCCCCACCCCTTTTGTGCCCCCCCCTGCCCACACTCTGTGTCCCACACAGCCTTACCTCCTGCTCCCCACCCCCCTTTGCAGCCACCCTCGCTGCCACCTGTCCCCAAATGCCACCTCCTTGTGGCAGTGGCCACCTCCAGTGGGGGCCACCGAGCCAAGAGCCGCCCTGAGGGGGGGGGTGGGGAGGGTGTGTGTGTATGGGGGGGGTTATATTTAGCCAGGGGCCCCCGGAGGCGATCAGATTTCGGGACGGGGAGCCTCGGCCCCGCAGCGTTGTCCCCAAGGAGGTGTTGGTGGCATGGAGGGGACAGCGCTGCCCCTCGAGGGGGGGGGGTTGGAAGGGTTGGCGCTGCGGCGGCCGCCCCCCCACGGGAAGAAGGCAAAGAAAGCCGTGCTCTTCTTTGAGGTGGAGATCCTGGATGCCAAAACAAGGGAGAAGCTCTGCTTCCTCGATAAGGTACGTGGGGTGGCACTTGTGGGGGGTCACATGTGTGTCAGTGGGGGGGAAGTGGGGGGGGTGAGGGGTGTAGGGGAGTGTGGGTCCAGATTTTGGGGACGCTGTTGGGGTCTCTGCAGGTGGAGCCACAGGCGACCATTGCTGAGATCAAGAACCTGTTCACCAAAACACGTATGGATGGGGGGGGTGAGGGGGCTCTGATGGCTTTTGGGATAATCTGAGGGGGGTGGGGACCCCTGTGCTGTTTGGGGACATTGTTTGGGGAACACCTTTGGCAGTTGGGGACACTATGTATCGCTTGGGGACGTTCTTTGGGGACCCCTGTGGCATTAGGGGACACCCACGTTGGGGCTCTGGGGACCCCTGTGGCATCTGGGGACACTCTTTGGGGACCCCTGTGGCATTTTGGGACATTCTATGGGGCTCGGGGGACCTCTGTGGCATTTGGGGACACCCCTGGGGACCCCTGTGACAGCTGGGTACAGTCCTTGGGGACCCCCTCTGGCAGATGGGGACACTCTTTAGGGTCCTGGGAACCCGTGGCATTTGAGTACACATCTTGGGAACTCCTGTGGCACTTGGGGATACTCTTTCGGGACCCTTGTGGCATTTGGGGACACTCTGTGGGTCTCTGGGGTGGTTGCGGACACTCTTTGGGGACTCCTGTGACATTTGGGGGCACCCTTTGGGAACACCCATGTTGGGAGAAGGGGGGGGGACCATAGTGTCCCTTTGGGGGGGACCTTCCTGTCCCCACGTGTCACTGCTGTCCCCTTGCAGACCCACAGTGGTACCCAGCACGGCAGTCACTGCGCCTGGATCCCAGTGAGTGCCCCACATCCCCTCCACGTCACCACTGTCACCATTGTCACCGTGTCCCCTCATTGTCACTGCTCCCTCTGCATCCCTATGGTGTCACTGCTGTCCCACTGCCCCCTCCCCCTGTCCCCATAGTGTCACTGCTCTCCTCATTCCTCCCTCCCCATATCCCTATGGTGGCACCACTGTCCTCATATCCCCCTTGCGGCCCCACCGTGTCCCTGCTGTCCCCATGTCCCTCCCCATGGTGTCCCTGCTGTCCCCCCATCCCCGCTGTCCCCACAGAGGGCCGATCTCTGAAGGATGAGGACATTCTGCAGTCTCTGCCTGTGGGCACCACTGCCACCTTCTACTTCCGGGACCTGGGGGCGCAGATCAGCTGGGTGACGGTGAGCAGCTGTCTGTCCCCAAGTGTCCCTCTGTCCTTCTGTCTCTCTCCGTCCATCTTGTGTCCTTTTGCCCCTCTGTCCATCTCTTGTCCCCCGTCCATCCCACATTCTTCTGTCTCTCAGTGTGGTCTTCTGTCTCTCTATCCGTCCCATGTCCTGTCCTTCGTTCTGTCCATCAACATGGTCTTCTGTTCCCCTGTCCATCCTTCATCCATTTCTCTGTCTATCTCTGTGTGTCTTTGTGTCTGTCCATGTCCTTATCTGTTCCTGTGTCCATACCATGTTTCCCTGTCCTTCTGTCTGTCCCTTTGTCCATTTCTCTATCCATCTCATGTCCCCTTACCATCCCATGTTCTTCTGTCCCTCACTGTGGTCCTCTGTCCCTCTGTCCATCCCTCTGACCATCCCTTCATCCATCCTTCTGTCCATCCCATGTCCCTCTGTCTTTCTGTCCATCAACGTGGTTTTGTGTTTCTGTCCATTCCTCTGTCCTTCCCACATTTCTCTGTCTCTCTGTCCATCCCATGTCCCTCTGTTCCCCGGTCCATCCCATGTCCTTCTGTCCGTCCCTCTGTCCTTCCATCCATTGCTCTGTCCATCCCATGTTCCTCTATCTGTCCCTGTGTCCCTCCCTCCCTGTCTCCCTCTATCTGTCCCCCTATCCCTGTGCCCCCCATCCCTCTCTGCATCCCTCTGTCCTTCCCTACATCCATCCCCATGTCCCCTGCCCCTCCCCCATCCCCACCCTGTCTGTCTGTCCGTCCTCAGGTGTTCCTGACGGAATATGCCGGACCTTTGCTCATCTACCTGCTCTTCTACTTCCGTGTCCCCTTCCTCTACGGCCCCCGCTATGACTTCACCGCCAGCCGGCACGCCGTCGTGCAGTGCGTGAGGGGGTCCTGGGGGGTCCTTGAGGAGGTCTGGGGGGCTATAAAGGGTCCTGAAGGGGGCAACGGGTGTCACTGGATGGGTTTGGGAAGTCTGAAGAGGTCCCTTGGGGAGGAAAGGGGTCCTGGGGGTGTCCTGAGGGTTCTGGAGAAGTTGAAGGGGACCACAGGAAGGTCCTGGAAGGGGTTCCAGGGGAGTTTTGGGGGGGTTCTGGGATAGTTCCTGAGGTGGTCTGGGGGGGGGATAAAGGGGTCCTATGGGTCCTGGAGGGGGTGAAGAGGGTCCTGGAGGGCACACTGGGGTTCACTGAATGGGTTTGGGAGGTCTGAAGGGGTCCCTGGGGAGGAAAGGAGTCCTGGGGGTGTCCTGAGAGTCCTGGGGAGGTTGAAGGGGACCGCAGGAAAGTCAGAAGGGTTTCTGCAGGGCCTGGGGGGGGATAAAGGGGTCATGTGAGTCACAGAGGGGGGTGAAGAGGGTCCTGGAGGGGGGGGTGGGAGTCCTTGGGTGGGTCCTGCGGACACTGTTTGGGTTGAAGGTTCCCCAGGGGAGGAAAGGGGTCCTAGGGATGTCCTGAGGCTCCTGGGGTGGCTGAAGGCGACCACAGGAAGGTCCTGGAAGGGGTCCTGGAGTCCTGGGGGGGGGATTCTGGAATAGTCCCTGAGGTGGTCTAGGGAGGGATAAAGGGGTCCTGTGGGTCACGGAGGGGGAAGTGGGGGTCGCTGGGTAGGTCCTGGGAGATCCTGGGGGGGGGGGGGGGGGGGGGGGGGGGGGGGGGGGGGGGGGGGGGGCTGAAGAAGTCCTGAGGGTGTCCTGAGGGTCCTGGGGAGGCTGAAGGGGACTGCATGAAGGTCCTGGAAGGGGTCCTGGAAGGGGTCCTGGAACGGCTGGGGGTGTCCTGAGGTGACTGGGTTGGGGGGAGGGACTCTGGTGGGGGCAGAGGGTTCCTGGGGGGGCGTCTAAGGTGTGTCAAGGGATCCTGGGGAGATCCCCATGGTGGACCTGGGGGTGGCTACAAGGGTCTTGGGGGGCAGAGAGTCCTAGGGTTGAAAAAGGGGCTGGAGGCAAAGTCAGGGACAAAGGGGTCCTGAAAAAGGATGGCCTCAGAGGGGGCTATGGGGGAGTCTGGGGGTCCCAGGCTGTCCCCTCTTTGGGGTCCTTAAATCTCAGGGGGGGACAGAATTTGGGGTCCTTTGATGTTTTTTTTTGGTCACTTTTAGGCTTCTCAAATGGAGCTGAGTGTGTGTGTGTGATGGGGTGGGGGAGGGTCCTCATTCCTCTGGGGAGGGGGCACATTAAGACCCTGATCCTCACCCCCCCAGCCTGGCCTGCGCCTGCCACTCCTTCCACTACATCAAGAGGCTCCTGGAGACCCTCTTTGTGCACCGCTTCTCTCATGGCACCATGCCTCTCCGTAACATCTTCAAGGTGCCCCCAATGTCCCCCAGTCCCCCCCCCTCAACCTCCCCCAGACCCAATAATGCTGTTTTTTGCCCCCTCTCCCTTTCAGAACTGCACTTATTATTGGGGTTTTGCTGCTTGGATGGCGTATTACATCAACCACCCCCTGTATACCCCCCCTGGTGAGTGTCACCTCCTGTCCCTTTTGGTGTCACCTCCCGTCCCCATGTGGGGAAACTGAGGCACAAAGTGGGGGTGGGTGGGGGGCTTGGGGTTGGGGAGGGACAAGGAGGGGCACTGATGTTGTCCCTCTGTCCCCCCACAGCTTATGGAGATGAGCAGGTGAAGCTGGCGCTGGCGGTGTTCCTGGTGGGTGACATCTGGGGACATCGGGGGTACTGGAAACACTGTGGGATATGGGGATGCTGGGGATAGTGGGGGACACGGGGAGCAATAGGGGATATGGGGATGTTGGGGAATTGGGGACAGTGGGGACATTGGGGATATGGGAACACTGGGGACATTGGGAGACACTGGGGATATGGGGACACTGAGGGATGCTGGGGACATTGTGGAATATGGGGACACTGGGAGCAGTGAGGAACATTGGGGATATTTGGGGATACTGGGGGATATGGGGACGTTGGGGATAATGGGGACGCTTGGGATATGGGGACACTGAGTATTGGAGACATTGGGGATGTTGGAGCTATTGGGGACACTGGAGGATATGGGAACAATGGGGACATTGGGGGTGTTAGGAACACTGTGGGATGTGGGGATACTGGGGAATACTGAGGGAAATGGGGACATTGGGAATGTTGGGGGTATGGGGGCAGTGGGGACATTATGGGTATTGGAGACCTTGGGGATATTGGAGCTACTGGGGACACTGAGGGATATGGGGATATTGGGGGATATGGGGACAGTGGGGACACTGGGGGTATTGGGGACATGAAGGACATTGTGGGATATGGGGACATTGGGGGCTGTAGGGGGATATGGGGACATTGGGAATGTTGGGGACTGTGGCAAATGGGGACAGGGAGCAATGGAGGACATGGGGACATTGGGGTCAGTGGGGGACATTGGGGATCAATGGGGGGCATTGGGGTCAGTGGTGACATTGAAGTCAGTGGGGGACACTGGGGTCAGAGAGGGTCAATGGGGACCATGGGGACACTGTGGACCCCCTCACCCTCCCTCCCCCACAGTTCTGTCAACTGGGGAACTTCTCGATCCACGTGGCGCTCCGCAACCTCCGCCCTGCAGGTAAAGGCGGGGTACAGATGGGGGGGGCACATGGGGATGTACAGACAATGGGGTGGGGGCCACAATGAGGACAAGGAGCGGGGGGGGCACATAAAATAGAGAGGTGGCAGAACCAATGGGTGCAAATGGTGGGGGCACAGACAATAGGGTCACATCTTTGGGGGGGCACAGATATTGTGGGGGCACATGAGGGGGCACAGGCATTGAGGGGCATGGGGGGGCACATCTGGGGGGGGCACAGGAAATTAGGGGGGCTCACGGGGGGCGCACAGTGAGGACATGGGGGGGCACAGGGAATGGGAATGGCACGCATGGGGGGGCACACATTGAGGACAAGCTGGGGGGCACAGGCAATGGAGGGCATACATGGGGGGGCACATTGTGGATGTTGGTGGAGGAGTCACATATAGGAGCCCACACTGAGGAGCTGGGGGGTCCCACACCTGTGGGGAGGCTATGTACCGATGGTGGGAGTCCCTGCATCTGTTGAGGGGGGGTCTAATTTGGGAGGGCCCCCCTGTTTCTCCCCCCAGGCTCAAAGACACGGAAGATCCCATACCCCACCCGGAATCCCTTCACATGGCTCTTCCTGCTTGTGTCCTGTCCCAACTACACCTATGAGGTGGGGTGAATTCACAGATTTGGGGGCGCGGGGGGGTCCTCAGTGTTGGGGGGTGGTACCTTAAATATGGGGCATCCTTATTTTGGGGGGATCTACGGTTTTGGGGTGGGGGGGTTGTGGTTCTAGGGGAATCTTCAAATTTGGGGGGAGTCCTCAGTGTGGGGGGGTGTGTCTCCAATTGGGGAGGGCGGTACCCACATTTGGGGAGGGAGCTGTGGTTTTGTGGGGGGGGACCCTTGTTTTGAGAGGGAGACCCCAATTTTGGGGGTGGGGCATTTGGGGGGGGGGAATACAACCCTTTTTTGGGGGGGAAGAACACAAAAACAGTTTGGGTGGGGAGAAAGAGCTTAATTTGGGGGGGCAGCTCTGTTTTTGGGGGGGAACACTCCTAATTCTGGGGGAACACCCATTTTTGGGGGTGCACCCCATTTTGGAGGGGGGGTGACATCCCAGTGTTGGGGTGCTGCTGCCCCCCCTCCAGTTTTTATCCCCTTTGCCCCCCAGGTTGGCTCCTGGATCGGGTTTACCATCATGACGCAGTGTCTGCCTGGTGAGCTGGGCCCCCCGTCCCACCACTGTCTCTGTCCCCCACCCCATCTCCTGTTCCCCCCATCCTCATATCCTCCCAGTGTCCCTACATCCCCCCCATCCCCATGTCTTCCCAGTGTCTCCATGCCCTGTCCTGCCAACTGTCCCCACATCCCATCACTGTCCCGTTCCCCACTCCATCCCCATCTGCCCAGTGTTCCCCCCCCCCCCCGCAGTGGCTCTGTTCTCACTGGTGGAATTCATGCAGATATCCTCATATTCCCCACATCCCCCATTTTCCCACATTCCCCCTATCCCCCGTCCCCACCAATATCCTCCCCCTCCCGCCCCCCAGTGGTTCTGTTCTCGCTGGTGGGCTTTATGCAGATATCCCCATGTCCTCCCTATCTCCATGCCCCCCCCATCCCGTCTCCCCTCCCATCCCCCCCATGGCACTGACACTGTCCACCCCCCCCAGTGGCTCTGTTCTCACCGGTGAGCTTTGTGCAGATATCCCCACCCCCCCCACCCCTTCCCCTGTCTCCCCCTAGATCCCCCCATCCCCCCACATCCCCCCCATGGCACTGACACTGTCCCCCCCTCCCTGCAGTGGCTCTGTTCTCTCTGGTGGGCTTCGTGCAGATGGCGATATGGGCGCAGGGGAAGCACCGCAGCTACCTGCGGGAGTTCCGCGATTACCCACCACTGCGCTCCCCCATCGTCCCCTTCCTACTGTGAGGGGACACCTTCAACACCCCCCACCCCAGGGGACAGCCAGGGGGACGGCGGGGTGATGGGGGGCACCCGAGTGATGGGGGATGTCTGGGTGATGGGGGACATCCAAGCAACAAAGGACACCTGAGCGATGGGGACGTTTGGGTGACAGGGGGCACTTGGGTGAGAAAGGACACCTGGGTGACAAAGGACATCTGGGTGACTGAGGACATCACCTGGGTAACAGGGGACATTTGGGTGACAAAGGACATCTGGGTGATGGGGGATGTCAGGGTGACGGAGAGCACCTGGGTGACAAGCAACAGCTAGGTGACAAAAGACAACTAGGTGGCAAAAGGCTCCTGGGTGACAGAGGGCCTTGGTGACAAAGGACACATGGGTGACAATGGGCCTTGGGTGACAAAGGACATCTGGGTGACAGCTTGGGGACAGCAGACCCCCTGCTGTGGTGGTGGATGCAGTCATGGTGTTCCCATCCCACGCTGTCACCAATTGTCACACTGGGGCCAGGTGTGACCCCATGTCACCATTCCACGGGGTCAGGAATGATCGGTGTCACCCATAAGGGACACATTACTGTTCTGTGGGGTCACATGTGACGCGTGTCACTCACGTGTGCCATGTCACTGTCCTGTGGTGGCTGGGAATGACCGTGTCCCCCGCGTGCGACCATCGCTGTCCCCGCAGACAAGAATAAAAGACGTCCCTTCCACACGTGTGTGTGTGTGTGTGTGTCACTGTCCCCAAGGACACGGGGTCACGTTTGGAGCTTTATTCCGTGCCCAGCATTACCCAGAGGGTGGGTGTCCCATGGGTGGGGGTCCCCACGGGTGTCACTCTGCAGCCACTGCCGCCTCCCGCTCCCGGATCCGCTTCTGGCGCTGCAGCAGCCGCCGCTCACGCTCAAATTCCTTCATGCGCATCACATAACTGTGGATGGACGGCCCCTCCTTGTCCCCATGTCCCCATATCCCCATGTCTGCCTGTCCCCAGTGTCCCCATTTTGTCCCCATGTCCCCTCCTGGTCCCCATACTCCATTTTGTCCCAATACCTCATTTTGTTCCCACATCCCCTCCTTGCCCCCGTGCCCCCATATCCCCTTCTGGTCCCCATATCCCACCTTGTCCCCGTGTCCCCACTTTGTCCCCATACCCCATTTTGTTCCCCTACCCCACCTTGTCCCTGTGTCCCCTCCTTGTTCCCATGTCCCACTTTGACCCCATGCCCCCTACTTGACCCGATGTCCCCACTTTGTTCCCTCCTTGTCCCTGTGTCCCCTCCACATCCCACGTCCTCACCTTGTCCCTGTGTTTCCTTCTGGTCCCCGTATCCCCAGTCTGTCCCCAAGTCTCCCCCTTTGTCCCCATGCCCCCACCTTGTCCCCACATCCCATTGCTCCACCTTGTCCCCATGTCCTCATTTTGTCCCTATGCCTTCCCCTGTCCCCCTCCCCTCAATGTCCCCACGTCCCCCTGCCCCCCCATCCATCCCCCGCCCCCTACTCTTGGTGCTCGCAGCTGTCCCATTGGTGCCTCAGGTGTTGGCACTGCCATAGGCTGGGGAAGGCGTCACGGCGGCAGCGCATCAGGCGCAGGAGGTGGTGGGCACAGAAATCACGCTGTGCCAACGGGACGCGGCCGTCCGACAACTGCTGAGCTGTGGCCACCATGGCTGGGGGCAAAGGGACACTGTCAGGGGGTGAAGGGACGGGGTTGGGGACAGTGACTGGGGACACAGGCACAGGCAGGATGGGAGGTGAAGGGACAGGACAGGGACATTGGTTGGGGGCAGGGGAACAGGATATAATGGGATGGGGTTGGGGACAGAGGGTGAAGGGATGGAGTTGGGGATAGTTGTTGGGGACATTGGTTGGGGACAGAGGGACACGGGACAGGGTCAGAGGAGTGCAAAGTGACATTGGTTGGGGAGAGGGGGACACAGTCAGGGGACAAGAAGTGAAGGGATGGAGTCACTGAACGGGGACATGGGTTGGCAACAGTGGATAAGGGGTCAGTGGCAGGGGACAGGGTCATGGGGGAGAAGGCAAACAGACATTGGCTGGGGGCAGGAGGTGAAGGGATGGGGTCATTGGCTGGGGACAAGGCAAGGGCTGGGGCAAGGACACCTTCAGACCCACGCGGCCCCGCCCCCTGCCCCACAGCCCCCCCCCCCAGGCCCCACACGTACCCCCCTCAGGCCGCACACGGACCCCCCCTGGGCCCAGGCCCCCCCCTTACTGCGCGGTTCCCGCTCGGGCAGCCCCAGGTCGACGGGGAACGTGGGCATCGCCAGCGGGTCCGGCTCCGTGTCCGCCCCCCCCCCATAGCGCCGCGCCAGGTGAGCGCCCATAGCACCGGCGGTCACCGGGGCACCGCACCGGAACCGGAACTGAGCTGCGCCGGAACAGGAAGTCACCTGGGATGAGGGAACCGGAAGTGAGCGGGACTCTGATCTGTGGGGACAGGAAGTGCTCGACTCGCACACCCGCCCGCGTATCATAGAGTGGGAGCGCGCAGAGCGGCGCTCTGCTTGTAGTGCTCCCCTCTCCGTGCGGTCCTCCAGAGGGGTTCATGGGGGAAGGGGTTGGGAACGGTGGGGAGGGGGGACACTGGGGGACAGTGGGGACGCGGAGGACCATGGGGACAATGGGGATAATAGAAACAATGAGGACGGTGAGGACATCAGGGACTTTGGGACTAATTGGGACAATGGGGAATTAAGGAACAATGGAGACAATAGGGACAGTGTGGACTTTGGGGACCATGAAGGGGTCAGTAGGGACAATGGGGACATCAGAGCTGATTGAGGGCCATCGGGGACAGTGGGGACACAAGGAGGACTTGTAGGGATAAATGGGAACATAGGGACATGGGGACATGATGGGGATGCAGGGACATTGGGGATGTGGGGATGTGGGATATGGGGACATAAGGGACATGGGGACACAAGGAGGAAAGACTGTGTCCCCACATCCCCATGTCCCTAATGTCCCCATGTCCCAGTGTTCCCAGTGTCCCAATGTCCCCACATCCCCATGTCCCCAATGTCCCCGATGTCCCCACATCCCCATGTCCCCACGTTCCCCCACCGCCTGTCCCTTCCCCAGAAGTTGTCCCCCCCCACCCCACCCAGTGGTGCTTCCCCTTTCGGTTCCCGTTTTTGGGGGCCAGAACTGGGGGGGAGGGGGGGAGAGGGGGGACGTGGGGACACCAAGGGCAGAGGGGGACACGTGGCAATGCCAGCTGCCTGGGGACAATGTGACATGAGGGGGGGGCATGGGGACACTGCGGACGTTGGGGCCATGAGGATGTTGTGGATATGGGGACACTGGGGACATTGGGGACATTGGGGATGTGGAGACATACGGACATTATGGACATGGGGATGTGGGGACATTTTGGGGACACTGGGGGACCCCAGTGAGGACATTTTGGACAAGTGACATTTTTGACCAGGGTGGTGGCCATGGGTGCCCATGGTGGGTGTGGCCCCCATAGGAGTGTGCTCTATGGAGGGGGGGGGAGTGGCCCTATAGGGCACAGCCAACCCCATAGCACTCACAGCACCATGAACTGGGGACGGGCAGGTGGGAGTAGGGGGGA